TCTGCAAAATAAAGTGGGGTAGAGGTAAATACTAGGAAAGCTTCTAGGAAACTGATAAACCCATTTCCTCGAGGACAATCTCGTCTCGAGTCAGAAGAACTATTTACAATATAAACATTCAAGTTGTCTCTACCTGGGGAAAGCGGTCAACCTACCAACACGCCTACCTATATTGAATCGTTACTCACTGTAGACACTTTTCGAATTAAGACACATTCGTGAAACGCTTAAAAACCCTGAACGACTCCCACAAACACATTTAAGGGGCCATTCTACCTTGTAGGCACGAAAAATACTTGTTTCTTTGTGATTTTTTTTTTTGCGGGCTATTAAAGAGCGATTAATTCCGTGTTTTGTAGATATATTTATTATATATTTAGCTACATTTACGAATTTTTGCAACGCATAATATCTATTGATTACGCTGTTTTTGTTGATTAACAAACAACAGTTTTTACGAACGGTGCCGGACTGTGTATGTGATATCTTGCGAACAAGTTATCCGAAATCCAAAAACGAACGATATTCTTAATGTATATGAGTGTGGTTATAGCATGAATTAGGATCTTTACAGAAAAACATAAAATGGCAAAATGGCAGCTATTTTACGAAAAAATACTGAATATCTTCATATATTCGGTTGCTTTTTTGTTAATACAAGAAAAAGTATTGCATATATCGCAATTATATTCGTTCATGCTATAGGGAGATCAGTTCTAAATATACTGTATAAATTTCATGTTGATATCTTGAATAGTTTTTTCGTTATCACATACGCAGTGCCGAAAAATGTAGTTTCGAGAAAAACAGCTTTAAAGTTTCACGCCCAGTTGTTATACCTGCGCGCGGTACATTTCAGCAGGCTATAACTTTGTTAGTTTTTCAAATTTCAATTTAATATTTGGTAGATATATTTTCGAGACTACATACTAAAAGAAAACGCACAAAAAAAATTCGATTTTTTAAATCCTACAAGGTAGAAAGGCCCCTTATACAGACTCAAACAAACATGTAAGTTAGAGATAATGATCAGAGTTGCTAAGACACGAGCATTTTAAACGATTAAAATCGACAGTTTTTCGCGATTACACCACGTCAAACAGTTACAAATATCCTGAATCGCCGAATACGTGGATTCTAACTCAAACAAATGACTTCTCACGTGGAATGAGAACAAATTGATCATATGGATAATACGTTTTATCATGGCGCGAGTGTGTCTATGTTGAGTCGAGTTGCTCGTTCGTCGTACAGTCGAGTGTTCTGCGGCCTTTATTCGTTTCGCGTGCTGTGAACGAACGTTAAAAGTGACAGTCGAAGCGTTTCCTGTGGGTCGTCGCGAGGCGTGGTGCCGGCTTGTCTTTTGTGCGAGCATTTGCTCTCGGCTCGGTTCAAGGAGATCCAGGAGCGACGGCTCGGCGTAGCGAACCAACGCGGCAAGCTACGACGCTCTGAATCTGAATCTCTCACGGTAAGCACGCCGCCATAATCCTGCCTCGCCCCGTATTCGGGTCAACCGAGTAGTAAGAAATTACGTAACACGTGTGCGCCGGGGCGGTTCCCACCGAGTCGCTCTACCGGAAGTCGGGACCGCGTCTTGTCGTAAGGACGTACGGTCAGCCCGACGGGCATGGGAAATCTTTGCTCATAATAGGAAAACCTACCAAGGATGAATCGACTACGGCAAAAAGTATTACAAGGGGAACGGTATCGGCAGACGATATGGAAATGAGAATTCGCGGAATCGCTGGCTTCGAGATATTAATGGACAGCGTTAACACTACAACTACCGACAATTACAGCGTATCCATTTGAACAGAAGAAAATAAAATGATAGATACTTGAAGAAATGTATAATGTAATGGAAATAAATATGTAATCATTCTCTTATAAAAAAAAAACGAACAGTAAATTTGTAACAATTTTTATTAAATATTACGAATGAATCATTTTGACCAGTTCGGAAGTTCTAGTGTTAATCAGTTTATGATTTGTATATAAAATTCTAAATTCTATTCCGTTGTTTGTTGATAACTTTTACAACATATTTGATATTGTTTTTGTATGAAATATCGTCAAGGATGAATTGATCACTGTAAAAAGTATTACAAGGGGACCCAAGTGGTATGAAAATGAGAATGTAAAATCATTGACATGGAGACGTTAGTGGAGCGAAGGTTTAATTTCACTCAGAAGATTATGTTGGACCTTGACCATTTGACGTTGATCCATATTTCGTGTTTCTGCCACTCGATTGGATATTTCAAATACTGTATGGAGACCAAGTCTCACCTTTGGGAGAGTTGAGCAAATGATAGATTCTATTTAAAAAAACAAGACTTGAAAAAGAACGTCCTCAGAATCAAATCTACTTGGGTCAAGAAAAGTCCTTGAATAGCTACGATTTGGAAAGATGAAATAACTGGTTGTCTGAGTCTAATAACTAATGATAGTGTTGCCAAGGATGAATACTACTGATTACTCAATCTTGCCCTGTACACTAATGATAACATTATCATCTGCATTTGCTTCCTTTTATTTCGTTTTTCTCTTACTCTACTTCCATTATATGTGTTTTACCCATATGCAATAAAGACGTATTATTATTATTACCTTCAAAATTCAGGAGGTTATAGATTTTCAAGTTCAAAATTCCAAATATAGACACAGAATAGCAATCAATATTGTATGGGAAGAGGCAATCCCGGTCTATGGGGAAAATATTACAAGTACAAGCAAGTAGAATATGACAATATCGAGTCAGACCGTTCGAAGACTGATTAACAGACGTCTGACTCGACATGACTGATAATTTCTTTCACTACTGACCTTTCTTTCCTACGATGGATGGACCTGTTTTTTGCACGAGGTTATTATGGGTTATTTGTATGTATTCTACCTTGCTAATGAAGGAGCTTCTTTTATGCCAGATAAAAAGAAAGATCATTAACGTCATTCTCGAGAGAACACTGCTCATAAAATGCAGAAAATATTACTTATGAACGTACGCTTCTACTTTCCCAGTATTGGACCATTAGTCATACGTCATCTATAGTATTACTTAAATTCTGTATTACATATTCATATTTCATAGCATCCGCTGCGTTGATAAACGGTTCAATATCAGGATACAATTTAATTGACGCTTTGCGAGTATCCTACTTTACAAGATCTCAAGTGAATGAAGTCGAATTGCAAAACACATCCTATTTTAAATGTTCACTGTTCTCACATTTACGTCGAAGAACATGATTTACACAGCATAACTCAGTTCCTTGAATTTCAGTGTCTGGAAACACGCCGCGCGATAAATCAAAACGTTCCTCGTTTTACGACAATTTCTCACGGGCAGAAACACCCAAAATACCGCGAATTCTAATTTGTTTCCTGCTGTTCGGTACGAGTCCTAGCATTGCGGTCTAATGTCATTATTGTCAAATTACTCCTGCAAAACCACATTCTACTTTCCCGACTATTGTTGGGTACAACAAAATAGCAGTATCATCATCGGTTAAAGTTCAACGTCTTAATAACCATCTTTTATTCTTTGCATTTCTCAATGTTTTGAGGTGACTTGAGCCCAAAAAATATAAAAAAATCTGTTCTATCAGAAAATCCAGAAAAATTATGCAGGGATTCTATTTCTTAAATCCCACGCGAGCCAACCTAAGCGTAAAAGTTAACAGTGACACGAAAATAAAATGCTGAAACTACAACGTTCTAAAATCTCAGTTAGATAGTCCAGTGCCATTCTGTTGCTTCGAATAATAAAACAATATTTTACAAGCTGTTCTGGTAATAGTATAGATAGCATCGGGTGCTGGTATATACGTGTATCGCAACGTTTCACCGACACTGCCTATAACACTTTCCTTCCTTGGTCTGGCCGGCTCGTAGCGTTCGTTTTAACGGTTAGGAACGTTAGGTTTGGTTCGAGCAAACGATAAGGAATTTTGCCGTACATGCCATTCGCGCGTACTGGAGTTCACCGATCCGCGAAACTCGCTCTCTCCTCGCCATCTTCTGTTTCCTATTGACTATAAACCGTGCCCTGATGCAGATCCGGTTTCGTGCCTGGAAACTAGAATAACGGGCTCGCTTGCCAACATTCTATCGCTAATCCAGCAATTTGGATTACGACTCGTGTGACGTGATACACGCACTTCCTTCGTCAAACACGAAACCCTCACAGATTCCTAGTCGAACGCGTCTGACATACAACGAATGTTTCTACTTGATCACTGCGGAGGAAGCGGAGAGGCCCTAAATTCGCTTAAATAAAATACTCGAAAAAATATAAAAATATAATCGATTCTTTCGAAGAAAAAATTTGTATTCTGCAATTGGTATCTGATGAAAGTGTCGTGAATAAATGCAGGGTGTTCGGCCACCCCTGGGAAAAATTTGAATGAAAGATTCTAGAGGCCAAAATAAGACTAAAATCAAGGATACTAATTTGTTGATTGAGGCTTCGTTAAAAAATTATAGAAACATTACCGGCCATAGAGAATATTTTCGGTAAAGAATTTTTTTCTTGAAAGTAAATAGGATTTCAAGGATATGTGTATTCGTCAAAAATAATTATAATTGAAAATAATTTTTCTGTGAATGATTTGAAACTTTTAATTTAATTTTTTAATAACTTTTTAACGAAACCTCAATCAACAAATTGATATTCTTGATTTACGTCTTATTTTGGCCTCTAGAATCTCCCATTACAATTTTTACCAGGGATGACCGAACACCTTGTATAGGCGATTTCATCAAGATAACTATCTTAACACAATCTAATTTATACGAGCAAATTTCGATTACTCTTAAGTAATCAAAGAGTAAAACGCGAACATCGTTTCTGGTCTATTTTGCCGGTCGAATACGAGAAATTTCACGAATAAATTATACGCAGATTATATTTGATCGGTCTTACGTAATAGAACAATCAAACAATTCTGTTACCGTTTCGGCTGGGCAAATGTTAATTGAACAATTTCACTTTCCAGGTAATCCCGGCATGCTTCCTGCTGCTAATAGAAGCAAAACGAGCGGAGCTCCGACCACGTATAGCGGAACCGCAGGTATATTACGAAGAAGACGACAGCCAAGCAGCCGAAGACGACTATAACCCAGCGATCTACCAACCGCGTACTCGTGCGCTTCCTTCGCCGCGATCGAAGGACGCTCTGCACCCGTCCAAGCCGCCGCCAGTACAGACGATTCGTAATTACAACAAGGTCAACGACGATGGATCTTTCACATTCGGCTACGAGGCGGCGGACGGCTCGTTCAAGGAGGAAACTCGAGGTACCGATTGCGTGGTGCGCGGCAAATATGGATACATCGATCCTGACGGTAACAAAAGGGAATTCACGTACGTGTCTGGTAATCCTTGCGATCCGAACGCGCCTAAGGACGACGAGGATGATCTGGCAGAAAAACAAGAAGAAGACGACTTGAACGGACCAGCTAACTATCCTGCCGTGAGGCCAATACCGCGTCCTCTGCCAGTGAGACCAACCTACCAACAGCCAACCACCCGAGCGCCCACGACGATCTTCCAAACGCAGTACCAACTGGACGACGACGCTAGCCAGGAGTTGGGCGAAGAGGATCTCGTGAAACCGTCTCAATTGCGACAAAGCGCCTACAGGACCTCTCAACAATCGGCCTACGTTCAATCGACGCCGTCGTCGGCTCTCTACGAGCCAGCGCCCACCGCTAGCCCTGGTCTCTACAGACTGGCCTCTTCGACGACCCAATACCAGAGCACAGCATCGCCGATTCTTCGGTCCCAACCCACGCCAGCCTATCAAGCCCTCGAAACGACGACCCGTCGGCCAGTAACGCGTCACCCGAAGCCTCAATCGGTCGCAATCACACCCCGGCCCCACGTTGCGCAAGTCGCCGCCCAGTACGTGTCCCCTAGTAGCACAGAACGTCCGGCGTTAGCGTACGCACGTCCCTCGGCAGCCACGGTATCGCCCAATCTACGCACGACCACCTTGTCTAGCGCATCTCACCTAGACTTCGCCGCCGAACTCGAACGATACGTGAACACCGTCGGCGTCCCCGCAGGTCCCAGGCCCGTACAACCATCGCCCCAACCACAGAAAGCTAAATTAGCCGGTCAATCGCCGATCGCCGCCAGCGACCCCATCTACCAGTCGGAGCTGGTGTACGATCCCTCTACTGGTCAGTACAATACCCAACTATATCAGACACTACCCCAAACCGCGGGTGACTTCACCCTAAGTCACAAACTCCAACCGTTCGTAGCCCAGCCCCAGTCCTACCTTGGACTGCAGCAGCTCCAGCAGCTTCAGCCCCAGCAGCCCCAGCAGTCCCAGCGTCAGTCTCCGCTTTATAAGCAATCCCAGTTGGCCCAAACCGCCCCCGCTGCTGCTGTTAGCCAACCCCAGGAAGTGTTGTACAGGAAGCAGCAGGCTCAGCTGCTCCAGCAGTCGCAGCAGCTCTACGCTCAGCAGCAACAACGCCAACAGCAACAGCAGCAACGACACCAACAACAACAACAACAGCAACAGGCGCAGTCGCACAGGCTCCAGCTCCTCGAGTCTCAGACGCAACCGCAATCCTTCTACTACGTCGCACCCGCAAGGTCCTCCAACCCCGCCAACGCACCGCTTTCCGTTGGACAGATCGATCACTATCTTCGAGCCAGTGCCGCCGGTTACTGATCGCTATTCCAATCGTGAGTCTTTAAGACGTAAGAAATTTTTAGGGACAACCCTACCAACGTTTTTATGTTATTCGATGCCCAGGCCCTCTGCGACACCTCACCGGCGAGATGGTGCTGTCAGTGGGCCTGGCGAGCGCCTATTCAGAATCCAATCAAGCATCGTGCTGAATATCTCGATGAACGTTATCAAAGAACGATCGAAACGTTTTATAAAATGACCGTTTTATTTTGTTTGTAAAAATTGCTATTCGAATTTTATCATGTATCGGTTGTTAGCCTTTGTGGTTTAACGTGTTCGTCAAAACGTTTCTTGATATTCTTGCACGGTGTTTAGTGTAGACGCGATGTAATTATACCATGTTTAGGATATACGGAAACCATTGAATAATATGTTCCAGATATTCCACCCTCAGGAAAAAGAATATCCTCCGAAGGATTTAAAAAGTTTCGACAGCTATTATTACTTGTAACTGATACGTGATTTTGAAATTAAAATCGAGTCCGAACGAATGGATGACTGACGTTTCCTGAGATAACGACATAATTACATGACGTATGCACGTTAGATTTCGTATGCATTATACGTGGAACAGTTTGCTAAACAGAGTACGCTCCTGGGAAGAATGAATTGTAATGTTTAAGAAGCAAGGAACAGAGTTCTCGTGTTACGAACATCAACGGTGAAAATGCATAAATATAACAATGTTGACAATATCGACCAAAGCACGAACTATACTACACAAACGTTGATACTGTGATAGTCCTAAAGTCTAAAATAATTTTATATGCAAAGTTGAAATTTCTGACTCAAAATTTGTAGATGTAGTTCGTATCTCGAAAGTAACAAAAATTGGGTAATGATCGTATGTCTTGAATAATTAGTATTTAAGATACGACCACTTTTCATTGAAACAATACTTTCGTAACAAGTAATCGATCTTCTTTCTATTAATATATTGTCAACAAATACAGAAGCATATTATTTCTTATATTTTGTTTAGAACTTATTTAGACAAACATAACAAAAACGTTTTATAGTAGAATTTCTTTCTTTCTTTCAACAAATTTGAAAATCACTATTATAAAGTTTATATTATTTTTGATGAACTCATAAATAATGATGACGTTTTTATTATACTATACAGGGTGTTCGGCCACCTCTAGCAAAAATTTTAATGAGCGATAGTAGAGGCCAAAATAAGACGAAAATCAAGAATACCAATTTGTTGATGGAAGCTTCGTTAAAAAGTTATTAACGTTTAAAGTGCCGCCCTTACTGAATTTTTTTCTCGAAAATGCGCAAGATTTCGGGGGTATGTCTATTCACCAAAAATGACTGTAATTGAACCCTACAACCGAAAATAATTTTTCCACAACGATTTGCAATTTTTTAATTTTCTCGAATAATTTCACACCTTCTCTATTTTTTTTCTCGAAAGTGGGCAGGATTTCGTGGCTATGTGTAATGACAAAAACTGATTGAAATTGACCCCCGCAACCGAAAATAATTTTTCCACAACGATTTGCAATTTTTTTTCTCCGTTGAAAAATTTAGGCACCTAATTGGATTTTCAGTAAGGAATTTTTTTCTCGAAAGTGCGTACAATTTCGGAGGTATGTGTAATGATAAAAAATGATTGTAATTGATCCCCGCAACCGAAAATAATTTTTTTAGAACGATTTGAAAAATTTTTTTTCGCCGAAAAATTTCAGCACCTACTCGATTTTTTTTCTCGAAAGTAGATAGGATTTCGGAGGTATGTGTACTCACCAAAAATGATTGTAGTTGACCCCCGCAACCGGAAATAATTTTTCCAGAACGATTTGAAATTTTTGAATTTAATTGTTAATAACTTTTTAACGAAGCTTCCATCAACAAATTAGTATTCTTGATTTTCGTCTTATTTTGGCCTCTACTATCGCTCATTAAAATTTTTGCTAGAGGTGGCCGAACACCCTGTATAACCAAATTCTACGTACAAAATGGTTAGAATGCGGACTTAGCCTCTATATTAAATCTAACCTACAAAGGTTTTTGCTCGCGAATAATTTAAAATGGCGGTCTCCCGGCAAAAAGTGGTCTCAGGATCCATAATTATTAGAATACTAATACAGAATTTCTGCTATTAACTTTTGACGACCTCGCGAATGGTAACAACGTTTTTGTTACACTGTGTAATTAAACCTAACCGATAAAAATTCTTTCTTGAGTAAAGTTTAAAATGGTAGTATCCCAACATACTATAATTTCAGACCTCTTTCGTTACGCCTGAGTCATAAGAAAATTTTAAAATTATGTCGGAACATTGAAATAATGCAGTCTAGAATAAACTTCTGTTTATTTCATAACGATACAGAATCGAGATTCGTAACATCCAGCAACGACCGGATCGTTAAACTCACAAAACTTTGCAACTACGTTAGAAACATCAATTTCGAGACCAATTTTGAGCAGTTTTCGATTGACTACGTCGGAACCGATTAGCGTTAGAGAGTGAAAGTCAATGACCTGACGCAATACTCGACGTACACGAGATACATTACCGCGGCAATTTCTCATCGCGTCGATACGCCCGGTAACATGCTACACAGCACAGATTCCGCACCATGACCAGAAATATATTCATCGTGTGCACGCGAACTTTGCAAACACGCTCCCCAACCCACGTACCAACTGATTTCATTACAACACACCGATCGAGCTGTATAAACATTCGCTGTCGTAACGATGACGCGACAATTAATCACAGAGGATAGGATTAATCCCTTGTTTCGCAGAAGCTCATCGGAAGAGCGTAAGAGCTTGTCGAGTAATTGATTGGAAAATTAAATTAAGACCTAAAAGTAAAATGGACTCTTCTATTCTTGAAAAAGGACTCTTTTATTCTATGCTACGAAGAATGCCTCCGAGGATCGTAAAAGGAATCCATCATTTCACTCGTAAAATGCGTTTCAACGATTAATTGATACGATACAGAATATTAATAATTAAATAATCTTTAGTGTAAATTATTGTCAGACAATTTAAATTCTATTTGGGGGGATTTTTTAGCTCTTCGTATACACCTGAGGTGCTCGTTACTCCCAACTGTGACACTTATTAACTATTGAACGATACATACAATATTCATTTGTACGAGATAAACTTTCTACCATCTTTGCATTACCAAACGAAGTTGAGTGTTTCTATTTGTCACATATTCATGATTATTTAGACCACGAGCAAACCTGTTTTAAGCGACTGACCATGAAAGACCTTGCCCAGCCTATTGCAAACGAAACCGATCAAAAGAATGCCAAATTTAGATAACGAACCAAATTCGTAACGTAAAATAAATAATAATTCTTTTTTTCCACGTTCGGTTTCTTTTTTTTAAATCTAAACACTTGCTCGATTCTTGTATAATTCGATATCCCATTCGAGACTCCTAATCAGGAACGAAATCGAGTTTTGCAACAAAGTTAGAGGAGATCTCGCGAAGCTTGCCTAAAGTGAGATTGGTCTGGAATCGTCTAAAGGGAAGTAGCTGTACTTTCATTGGCGTGGTCTATAAAGACATTCTATTCAACTCCGACGTACTTTCTATTTGCATTCCCTGTCGCAAGTGTGAGAATCGATTCGAACCTAATGCGTCCTACGACGCGGATTCTGTGGAAAGCTACTTGCTCGGGTACACGTGCCCGGTGGAAATCCGTGCTGCGATCGCGAATCGAAAGGCGTGGACCCCGCGATCACGCGAAGAGATTTCACACGCATTGGAAAGGTCCGCCATTAGAGCACTTTTACGAATGCTTTCTCCGATACTACTGGGCAGAGTCGGGCAGATTTTATCTCCGAATAACTAATACAAATTTTTAAAAAATTAAATCTATGGGACTAATAAAAACTCGAAGATTCGAAAATTCCACCCCAAAATATATTAAATTGTTACGAATGATATGGGTATTTTTCACGATTCAAATCTCCCGCCTTTGTAACTTGATTCGTTCCATTTGAAAAGGACACGTCTCGTGTATAAACAAGCGTGCATAATTTTGTTTACGTTCGTATGAAATAATGGAGGGTGATTTTAAAATAAAGTAATATTTCCCATAATTGCTCGGAAATGAAATTAACCCAACTCTGTCACTGGGTCGGTAATTGTCAAGTTCGTTATATTTATCGTATCTATTTATTAACAGCGAGCTTGAACCCTTAGCCGAGTAAATTTCAGAGGCGTCCAGGGAAATGGGTATGTGTAATCGCGAATCCAGCGATTACGATTATGTAACGGGTGTACTTATCTCGTCGATGGTACCATACAGAAGCGTCGATATGCGCTTCTCTACTCACATTGTAAATACTTTTTCGTTAGCATTAATATTTAGCGGCTACCTAGCGATTTATACGTTCAGTACTATGTCGGTAAGGAAAACGTTTCTTACGTTTATAGTTGTTTTTTTTTTTTGTATTATTTGTAAACGTGATCGAAGAAAGATAAACTGTAACGAGTACGAGTTGTTTGTTTCTTCTCCCGAAACCTGATAATTTCAGCGTTATAGGCTCGCGATCGTTTGGCGTGCAGGAAAGAAAGTAAGAGCGTCGGGGAGAATCGTAAGTATAACAAAAATGTTTACTGCTTCCGCGTTTTTTTTTCCGTACACGAACTCAATTCCGCGACTTTCGTGGCGTTTTGCAATTCAATTGTGCGTTGATTAATTGACAATGGAAATTTTAAATGCGACTAATGAATTCCGAACTTCCTCTTCCTGACAGGCGTAACTAAACGTTATGAATTAGTCAATGCGAATGTCTTTATCATATGTGTACAATTATATTATATGGTAACACATAAAAAATGTCCTAAAATCATCAATTAACGTATATATGAAATATTTTGAATATTAAACCTATTAGATATACCTGAAAGTTGAGGCCAATTTCTAGTCAAATAAAATATAAAAATTTTCATTGTAACAATGCCAATTTTACCTATTTCTTAATATAATTTTACAAACATGTTCTTTATATCCTTAAACAAAATCGAAAGAAAACACACATTTTCATAAATACACATTTTACTAAAATAGCTTTTATTTTTTTAA